TTCTTCTTTCATAAATTAAGAATAAAAATGACGAACAGAGCCAGTGTCTTGTTTGTACATGCATCACTCATATAATAAAGTATACCATTTTCAATGAACTGCCGTAGGTAGCCAGTGATGCGGCTCTTATCTGACACAGAGCATTCATCATCGTCATCGTCATCGTCCTCGGTCCCGGTCATTTTGGGCCACTTGATGCATTCCAGAATGCACTGCACATAAAAACAACAAGCAGAGAAACAAACTGGGATAGGCAATTGTCCTGGTGGATTTAACAATAAACTTTCAGATACTACCAAAACTGCTTATCTTGTGCTTTTTACCTCTGGGGTCAACACAGAACTCATCTCCCGAGGGAAAATCTCTGGAGCAACATCTGGGCGCGCACAAATGAGGGGCCACACCATGGTTTCTTTTAGGCCTTTTCTTATTTGCTTTACTAGCTTCATCGTCCGTCCAATGACCTAGTGGGGAAACAAAAACAAATCTTTACACGTATAGTGGTTTAAAAGAGATATAAATGTTGTCAAATAGTTAAAAAAGAAATATATTCAAATACTGCATGATGAAGAAGCCTCTCAAAGAGCCATCTTAGGTTGTTTTGGGTCATCAATGGAAGGTCCCATGCGAGACACAAGGTGTCAAGGCTCTCCTCCTCCTCTGCTGACAGTTCAGGACTCCCTTCAAGCTTTAAGACAAAATATGAACACACTTAAACCCAATAAAGAAGAATCTATTTAAAAAAAAAAAAAAAGAAACACAAATCTGTAAAAACCTGAATTTACCATTAGACAAAAAAAAACAAAACAATTTTTTTTTAGTTTGAAGAATACACACCAATGTGATCTTCTCTCGTAGGTCCAAGTCTGGGCAGTCATTAATTTTTATGAGGGCGGTTTCAGGTGTGCCGCCACATAGGACGTGCACAATGGCAGGGCTTAGTCCCGTCAGTGCAGGACCTCCATTTAAAAAGCAATGACCGATCATGCGGCCTGCCATTAGGAACAGGTCACTGTCCACAATGAAAGCAGAGGAAGAGGGAACAAGGTGATCCGGCTCGCCGTCAAATAGATTCGTGGCACCAGCATTTCCTGGCAAACAGAAGAAATTCCCTGATCAGGTACCTTGTATTCAAAGTTTTACTTGGCCTCTACACATACAGCATTAATTGGAGAGATGGTGGCAGTAAGAATATTGCAGCTAAATCAAATATGGCAATGTAATTGAGGACACTACCTAAATTGATCTTAAAACCATATTTGAGCTTCTCCATGATTCTGGACAACACGAAGCGGTTCACTCCCTCTCCGATTGCTGGATCACCTATTAAATATAAGAAATACTCAGGGTTATTTGTGAAAATCAAACTGCACATAAATTGTTAAATTGAATAAAAAGAGAGAAAAGAGATGGACCTTCAAGTCTGCATTGCAGAGGATTCGCCCACTCTGCGCTGCATGCTTTATAAAAAGCAATCAAAGCCATTTCCTGGTCTAACTGGCTGCTCCTAATGTCAATACGCAAATACAGTGGCTTCCCTGATGCGTGGATTTCAAGTGCTGTCTTCCTGTACACCTGAGCAGCCTTTGCCTGGTCTGGTATGGTCTTCCAATCTAGAAATAGATGGAAAGTTTAACATAGTAAGCCATTAACCAAAAATTTGAACATGAAACACTCAAATGGTGTATCAAATAGATTACAAACCCTCAATTGTGTGGTCTAACTCGGAAGGTCTTGCGGCCTGATTCTGAGAAGGCACAGTCTGTGAGGATGCACCACATGGTCCTTCCGTCGGATCTAAATCCAATCCCCTGCTTTCAAACAAGTGCTTCTCCTTAGTTGATGGCATTAATGACATAATTTCTGGGTTTTAGCTTACTCTAATATCTGAATAGGGTCTAGGCAGAATCTAGACCTTGTAAATACAGGGAGTAATACAACAACATACATATCATTGCAGCCGCTGGCATGCATCTCAATGACTTGAGCAGGGTACGTGACCTGGCAAATGGGACACGGCATCTCTGTAGCATCTGTGAAAGCAGAGAAGACAAGAAAAATAATGAATCAAATGTTATCAAGGACTTACTGTTTTGTTTAGAAAATACACATAACCCAAAACAACTGATTTTACTATCTATCTATCTATGCATATTCCCTGTTGGGCTTGCTTAACCCATCATTAACCAATAAACCGTAAAAATATGTTTAGGTATTCTTGTGCGATGACAGTGTACTTATACTTACTGCTCTGACTGCAGGATACAAATGCAACATCATCCTGATCTTTCTCAACAGCAGCACCAACCCCAGCACCAGCACCATTATCTTCTTCGTCTTCATTGTCATTGTTGTCTTCCTGTCAAGTAGATTAGGTTAGGTTGAAAAAAATATTTTAAAAACATTCACTTTAGCTAAAAGTGTTATGTTGAAAAACTTACTTCTTCAGTGCAAGATTTGCGACTACATGAGGCTACATGCAGAGCCAATGCCTGTAGAGGTAAACATTCTCCACAGCACTTGCATTCTGACTTTGGCATCTTGCTAAACTCGGGGGCATCAGCTGGGAGTGGTGTTGTGTCGATGTTGTCTTGCAGTGGAATGATGAACAGTGTGATTTTTCCATAACTGGAAACACTTTTTAGGAGCTTGCCATTGTACCCTTCCGACTCTGGTGGGACCATGGCGAGTTTTCTCTGGCCACTTCCTCCTTCATTGTTTTGAACAGTGGCAAAATGATCAAATTAATAGGGATCAAAGTAAAAGAAAGTTATCAACTGAATACTCTATCCACATTTTGGGCATGTTAATTCTGAACCCTGGAATATTATCATAGATATCTAGCAACACTGATTTAATTCTACAGTTTTAAAATAATCCATTTCAGATGTGTCAAAACACACATCATCACAAATTATGTTGTATGCCTACCAGTAGCCTTGTAAAACAGCCATCCCCCGGACAAACTCTTCAGCTTTGGATACTCACACTGCAGCGTTTCTGAAATCTTAATAGGACAAACCATTGGCAATTACTTTTGGGGGAAAAAAACACATTTTCTCTTTAGTTTAGTGGTGAGGAAGTATGTGCCATAGAGAGCAGTGTGAATGCAGTTTTGCCTTCTAAACAAAGAGTTCAACGGGTGCTTTCACTGATTATCTAGCCTCGCTCTACCAGGCTCTTCATAGAGAGGGAAAGAGCCTGGTATCGGTCTACATTCTGGTTCTGGTCAAGAGAAATCACCAATTCACCTAGGTAAAAGGGTTGATCAAAATAGAATGTTAAATTCTGGCGTACCGTTAATTCCTGTCTCCCATTTTAAAACATTTTTATCATTTATAACATCGACAGGTATTACCTCTGAATGGTTGCTGTTGTCAGGAACCATTATAACCCTCTTTCCCAAGCCTGCCATCAGGAGTGTAAGCTCCTCGGTGCCCTGTGGAGTTCGGGTTGTCAAGGGGTTTGGAAGCAAATAGAAATTAATCTTTGTTCCTCTTGGGGATGACGCTGCGGCTGGTTTTGTCGCTGAAAACCTGCGCTTCCCAGTGCTCTTCCTAAAGAGAGCAGGAAAAGACCTGTAAAGAAAATGGAAAGGCAAGTCATACAAAATCTTAACCCACATGGAAAGGCAAGGCAAGTTTATTTGTACAGCCCATTTTTACACAGTTTGTCACAAAGGGCTTTACATAGTAACATTATACCATAACATCCTCTACCCTTAGACCTTCACACTGAGGAAAAACCCTTTTAACAGGGAATCGGAGAAACCTCAGGGTGAACAACAGAGGACCGGCAGGCATGCAAGGGATGTTGTTGTTTACAGACAAAAACAGTTCACAACAACAACATATAGAAGCGGCATAGCCTATACACATTATAGATACAATGTTGTTTTTCTAACTTCGACATCTCCTGCTGCACGTTCTCCTGAATCGTTCTGCGTTCCTGGCTGGACTGTGGGGCCTGTCCCTGTCCCTGTCCCTGTACTTGGCCTGGCACCTCAGCCACCTGCCCAGCTTGCTCCACATTTGCTGCCAATAGGGAAAGCAAGTTTCAGGCAGCAGCGGCGATGTGGATGTAGTCAGGCTTCTGGACACACACACACATACATACATTCATACATACATACATACATACATTCAATTCAAATAAACACAAGAAGTTTGTGCTCTAATAAAAAACAAAAAAAAAAGGGATCAGCACTCAGTGAATAATCCTCCTAAGCCCTACGATAAGCTATTATGGCAAGGCTTAACTATATAGACCCGTGAGCAGTGATAACTAACATGTCTTTGGGGTCATCGGGTGGGAACCTCCTTTCACCGGTGTTTCGTCTAGTTAGTCCCACGACACCTCCAGGAGGCTAGACAGTGATCTCTGGCGTCCCAGAGACACTCCCCTAATGCCAGGTCTCACTGCTCCCCACACTAACCGAACAACCTCCTTTACCTTACCTATACTACCACAGAGGAGGTAGACCCAGGGAAGGAAGCCTTGTTAGGCTATCACACTCCCCCGCCGGGTTAGGCTGTACAGTCTACCTCCCCAGGACGAGCCCTCACAACAATGACACCTCCAGGAGGCTGGACAGTGATCTCAGCCCAAACAGCACTGCCAACTTCAACCAAGCCCAGGCTCCGTTTATGCGAGCTCCAGGCAGAAGCAATGCTGATACTACCTTTACTAGCACATTCACCATACTCTATTTCACACGCTACATAGCATAACTACAATGTAAGCTAAAGTTAAAGGAGATAAATGAACTCACAGGATCAGCAAACACACTCACTTTGCAGCATGGTCTCAAACAAAATGGATTCAAATAGGCCACTCCCACACTTAAATAACCTTCCTCTTCCTGGATTTCCTTCTTACTTACACATGGCTTTCTCAGCCCAAACAGCACTGCCATCTTCAACCAAACCCAGGCTCCATACATGCGAGCTCCAGGCAGAAGCAATGCTGATACTAGCTTTCCTGTCACATTCACCATACTCTATTTCACACACTACATAGCATAACTACAATATAAGCTAAAGTTAAAGGAGCTAACTGGACTTACAGGATCAGCAAGCACACTCACCTTGCCGCATGGCCTCAAACAAAATGGATTCCAATAGGCCACTCCCACACTTAAATACTTCCTCTTCCTGGATTTCTCCTGACAGGAAGTGGATCTCTCCACCTGATCTCAAGGAGTTATGTGCCCTGCTTAGTAGTTCCCCCTGCTGGCCCCCAGCTGACATTATTTCTTCTGTAATAGATAAACTGGCTGCATTTAATTGCTTCATCTGACATTTCCCTCACTGTCTTCCTCAAATTCTGTCCCCGCACTCCGAGTTCCCCCAGGAGTGAGACAGTTGATCTTGCTATGAATCCCCTACACCCCACTTCCACTGGACAAATCCTAGTCTTCCATCCTCGCTGCTCAGCTTCTGCTCCTAAGTCTGCATATCTAAGCTTTTTTCTTTCATAGGCTTCTTCCACTGAGTCTTCCCAAGGAACTGTCAGCTCAATGAAATAAACTATCTGTTGACTCACTGACCACAACACTAAGTCAGGCCTCTGCCTGGTACAGACTATTTCCTGAGGAACAACAAGCTTTCCCCCTAAATCTACTTGCATTTCCCAATCACAAGCACCTTCTAGGCGGCCACACCCTTGCCTCCTCACTAACTTATCCCTTCTGTATTTCTCTCCCTCACGGACAAACTGAATTACTAAGCCCCTATCCTTAACACCTTCTGAATTCACCTGTCTTCGTTTCCCTTCGATGCCTGCAGCTAAACATTTCAACACCTGATTATGTCGCCATGTATATCGGCCTTGTGACAAGCTAACTTTACAGCCTGACAAAATATGCTTTAAAGTTGCGGTACGTGAACACAATGGGCATGATGGGTCCTCATTTACCCACAGTTTTAGGTTCTGGGGGGTTGGTAACACATCGTATGTAGCCCCTACCAGGAATCTAATACGATTCTCCTCCATACTCCACAGGTCCCTCCAACTAAGCTTCCTCTTCTCTACACTTTCCCAATTCAACCACTGTCCCTGTTTAGCCTGGGCCACTACCTTTGCACCCCTTACTATCTCTTCCTGTCTGCGTATCTGTTCTACAACCAGCTTTCTTTTATCTTTGAGGCCTGCTGTATTCCATACCGGTTTACCTGAGCCAAGCCCCAGGCCTCCCCGGCCAAACTGAACATTACCTACAATCTCTGCATGTCTAAGAGCTGCCTCTGCCTCCTGAACTGCCGATCTTGGGTTCCACTTCCTCCCCTTGGTTGGATTTGGAACCACACTCCTAACTACCACGTCCTTACTCCCAGATAACAAGAGCTCTGTCCTGACCTTGGTACATTTAAATTCCTCTGTTAAACTAGATACTGGCAGCTGAAGTATCCCTTTTCCATACAATGCAACACTACTTAGGCACCTAGGAGCGCCCAACCACTTCCTAATGTAGGAGCTAACCGACCTTTCCATTCTCTCCACAACAGATATTGGAATTTCATAAACTGACAATGGCCACATTAACCTAGGATATAGCCCAAATTGCAAACACCACAACTTCAACTTTCCTGGAAGTTCTGATTTATCTATTCTATCCAATCCTTCAGCCACATCTTTTCTAAATTTCACCACCTGTTCCTTATCATTCAACTCTACATTGTACCACCTACCTAAGCTCTTTACTGACTTTTCCCTAATTGTTGGGATGTCCTCATCATCTATGACAAACTTCCTATCACTTAACTTCCCTCTACATATCGAGATGCTTCTAGATTTACTAGGCTTGATTTTCATGCTGGCCCACTTGAGGTTCTTATTTACCTTCTCTAGTAGCCTCTTTGTACATGGCATTGTTGTGGTCACCAGTGTCATGTCATCCATGTAAGCCCTAACTGGTGGAAGATGCAACCCATTCTGCCGTCTCTCCCCACCTACCACCCACTTAGAAGCCCTGATGATTACTTCCATTGCCATAGTAAATGCTAATGGAGAAATTGTACACCCTGCCATGATGCCTATTTCTAGCCTCTGCCAACCTGTTGTGAAACCTGCTGTACTTAGACACAACCTAATATCCTGAAAATATGCTTTCACTAAGTTAACAACTACCTGTGGCACTCTGAAGTAGTCAAACGCACTCCAAATGAGGCTGTGCGGTACTGAACCAAACGCATTTGCAAGATCTAAAAATATTACATGTAGGTCCCTTTTGTTAATCTTCGCTGCCTGAATCTGGTGCCAGATCATGCTAGTATGCTCTAAACACCCTGAAAAACCTGGTATTCCTGCCTTCTGCACCATGGTATCTATTAAGCTATTCCTTTCTAAGTAGCTAGCTAGTCTCTGCGCTACTACACTAAAGAAAATCTTCCCCTCCACATTCAAGAGAGAAATCATCCGGAACTGGCTAAGGTCCACAGACTCCTTCTCCTTAGGAATGAGGACACCCCCTGCCCTACGCCATGCTCTTGGTATAATTTGTTTTTCCCAAACTATTCTTAGCTGTTTCCACAAAAATTTAAGGGTATGAAAAAAAAAAGACTTGAAACATCAACAATATATGTACTTAAATAACATGGATTGGCACAGGGAGACTTGTAGCTGCTACAGCTAAAGTCACCACTACTCCCGCCACAGTTGCCTATAAAAACAGGATGTACACTGTTCTAGCTGCACTGCAAACTTAACGTCGTCTTCACTGACTGCTCAGTCCGTTGGCCAGCCCCTCTCTCTCCCGTTACCGTTCCTACCGTTATGTCATACACCGCTTGTAAAATTGGTTAGTTTGTGACCGCTTGCGACACGGTGAACAAGGAGGCTAAACTTGAACTCATGAAGCACAAGGCTAATGTCAGCCAAGCCACCTGTAGCAAGCAGTCTGTCCCATATTTATGTAAACTTGTTCAAGTGATCAAACATCATCAACAACACTAATACCAATCTAACCATTATTATTCTGTCAAGTGTAACGCCAATTCCGATGTTTGATCTGTCACTCTGAGCTAACTGAGCTAAACTCTTCGTTTACATATTCTGCCTGGTCTGAGCCGCACGTGTGCAGCTCATAATGTTACGGTTGTAGTGATAGCTAGGGTAATAACATCTGCCATGTGCAATTCTGAATGTTAATTTTTCAGAATACATACCGGCATTAGTAACATTACAAGCCAGAGTGACAACTCAACGTAACCTGAACCTGACCCCATCCTTTCATCTAGCTACCAAAGCCGTAAGTCATGGAAAGGGAAACTACAGAGAGCTAACGTTAGCCTGCAATGCTAGGAGCGCAACGTCTGGACGTAATTGAACACAAAGCGCTCCCACATGTTTCTTGGTGCAGCATAACGCACCAACTCATAATATTTCAATAATGTTGCATGATTGAAAAAGAGGGGATAATAAAACAAACGCGTTACTTACAGGTTGAGCTTCGTTCCCTCCTCCTCGGTTCTCCATTTTGGGTCCGGGACAGGGTCTCACTCTGGTACTATGGCGCTGGAGACCTTATAGTGATTCAACAGCGCCACCCAGTGTTGTGGAGTGCCAATTGCGGGACATTTGTTTGTGGATCAGAGTGCACACGAGAAAAACAAACAGGAGGAAGGAATATTACTGCCAAAAGTCACGTGGCTGTTTTTCTGGGCGTAGGATTGTTTTACGCGCGTGAAATTTTTTTGTAGATTTTTTTTCTGGTTGTAGGATTGTTTTGTGGTTGTAAAATTGTTTTGTAGCCGTATAATTGTTTTGTAGTGGTAAAATTGTTTTGTAGTGGTATTTTTTTTAGGTGAAGGATTTTGTTTTTCTCTTGAAGAAACATTATTAGTGTCAGAAGCATGGTGTATTTGTTTGATAGGTAAATTTCCTATTTGTAAAACAAATACATTAGTTCGTGAATTGTGTTTTGTATTTGCAAAACACAGTAAGTTTGTTTGCGAAACGGTGAACGTGCGTGAAACGCTATTGCCTATTTGTGGAGTTTTGGCATTAATTTCACCCCATACTTCTCATCCAGTGCTCTGTCTTTGATGATGTGCTGAATGTATTTCACAAAAAAAGTGAAAATCACAGTGGATGCAAAACCTCTCATTTCTCAATAATAATAATGTATGACAAGAGTTGTATGTCTATCAATCAATCAGTCAAACTTTATTTATAGAGCACTTTTCATACAAAAGAAGCAGCCCAAAGTGCTTTACATAAAAACAATACAACAATAGACACAAGAGATGTCCCTCCTTCTCCCACACATACTCACACGTACGTATACACACACACACACACAGATTTAAAAACACGGAGGAAACGCTATCCTACTTAGGTAAAAATAACTGTATAAATTAAAATTCAGTAAATATCTAACAGATAACAATAATAAAATAAATAAAATTCAGTTAAAAGCCAGACTAATAAGGTAAAATTAATGAAATGAATAAAATTCAGTTAACAGCCAGACAAAAAGGTAAAAACAATAAAATAAATAAAAATCAGTTAAAAGCCAGACTAAAAAGGTAGGTCTTGAGTTTGGTCTTAAAAGTGTCCACATTCTCTGTTTTCCTCAGGTTCTCAGACAGACTGTTCCACAAACGTGGGCCATAATGATAAAAGGAGGCCTCACCATATGTTTTGGTTAAAACTTCTGGAGTAATTAAAAGGCCGCTGCCGGAAGACCTGAGAGTTCTAGAGGGCTCATATGTTAAAAGCAAATTAGATAAATAATTAGAACCAAGACCATTAAGAGCTTTAAAAACCATTAAGAGGATCTTAAAATCGATTCTGAAGCAGACAGGTAGCCAGTGCAGAGACTTTAAAATTGGTGTCTGGTCCTCGTCAGAACTCGTGCAGCTGAGTTCTGAAGAAGCTGTAGTGGAGCAATGCTTTTCTTAGAGAGACCAGAAAGAAGAGCGTTACAATAATCAATTCTGCAGGTGATAAAAGCATGCATTAGTGTCTCTGTGTTGACTTGAGATAAAAATGGCAAGAGTTGGGCTGCAACATCAGTGTAAGATATCTCAGGTAGAGAAAGACTTGATGTGTCATACTGTGTGCTTTCTCTCTCAGGGGTTTTATGTAGCTCTGCGGCTGGTGGCCTGTGCTCAGAGCGGCCAGGAAGTCAGTCTGTCCAGCCTCAACCTCACAGTCCCTCCCCCCAAGTTTGTGAGTATGACGTCATCATCAGAGCTCAATTGCACCATATTCTCTGTATGAAAACAAGCTCCAACCTGTAGACATTTTTTTTATAATACTTTACACTCTTAATGGTTAGGATTGGTTTCTGTGATTTTCATATGTTATTATTATGTTATTAAACACTGTAATTAATTTCATTAATTTTGCCAGTTTCAAACTACATACTTATCCCTTTATAAATAAACAATGAATAAATAAATAAATGTATCAAATGCTCTACATGAGAGGAGAAGATGTGTGTTTTATCTAGCAAATGTTTTATCCAGTTCTGACAGTCATCTTTGTTTGTCTGATTTCAGAAGGACACCAGCAGTCCATCTCTAAGCAGCACAGCTTCTGCCTCTGGCGAATTACACTGGGCTGTCAGGGTGTGTTGGAACACACACACACACACACACACACACATACACACACACACACACAATAGAATAAAGCAGTCATTATAGATGTGTTGGACATTGATTCAGAAAGACAAGGTGAATGAAATTCAATTTTCCAGGTTCTACTTATTTTTTATAGTCGTTAACAACAACAACAACAACAACAACTTATTGTGTGCGTGTGTGTGTGTGTGTGTGTATATATATACATATATATATATATTTGTATATATATTTATCCATATGTATATATGTGTATATTGTATATATTGTAACATAATATATTGTAGGC